ATTGAGATCGTAATTAGAAATTGGGTTGAGCGCATACAATGCTGAAAGATGATAATGGTATTTACGCGTAAGGATGTTAAAAAAGGTCGAGCAGATGGATTAAAAGCGGTCTTGGCTGAATGTTGGCCAAGCTGCTCGCAGAGAATATTCAATGATTGAACAAAAAGAAAAAAAAAAAAAAGAAGATCAGTAAATGTAAATGTTTGTAAACAAATTATGAAACATTATTTGTTCAGTGCCTACATATTTACACAGTAACAATAAAGATGAAGATTAGCGAATATTCTTTTGTCTCTTTTTTCACCAAGAAGAACGATACGATTTTGATCTGAATCGATCGGGACTTGCAAATTGCCGCAAAAGCGATCCGCCAAGCTATACGAGAGCCGATCGTTGAAAACTACCGCAATGCGAACGATCGTTTTCTAACAGTATTTTTATATAACTGATATGCATCTTGACATTAAATATAAATGAGTGAAAAAGCTGTGTCTTCATTCGTAGCCTGGAATATATAAACGTCTTGCGGGTTTTAAATTATAACCTAATGTCACTGTCGCGGCGAAATCAAAGCGATTCGACCATCAGGTGATGACACATATCTCCGATACGGCGCGGCGTTTGTTTCATATTGCATCGCTCTTTTGTCTGAAAGTTACATTCGAAAACTTTCGTTGCCAATATTTGATGAAAGCTTAATAAAACTATATTTCAAAACCCAAGAAACCGGCATCTCAATTCATTTAATACCAAAGAGTATGTGTATGCACAAATTCACACACGAATTCGCCTCTCTCAATTTTGGATGAATTTAGCATTAAGGTTATAACGCTATACGCTGATATACTTACGATTCGATTGTCAATTTGAACGTTGTCAAGTTGAAAGCGATTAAAAAATCGATCACTATCCTTTCTTTTTTATGGGAATGGCATTACGTTTGTTTACGAATTATGGGCCCAAGTGTAGAGGCACTATCCCCACCACTGGACCCTTTGGTCGCAATCGTTGGTTACGGTGACCGGTGCCGGTGACATTCTAACTCGGCAGTTGAATTTCGAAACTCGACTGTGCTGGGTCGTGACGTCTTATTCGCTGTT